TACCCAAAGAGGAGTTCTTTACAGCCAGCAAGCCAATGCTTTGATCAATCATTAGCATCAACATTCTAGTTTAATTAAGTCCAAAGTAAGTAGAGAGCTGGTGGCTAAGCAGAATGGCTTCATGACAGCCACTGTGTTAACCGGTGACAATAGCCGTTGTGTTAAAATGAATTAGTGCTCACTTTACATTCCTCTCATCTTTTTAAAAGCTTCAAAATCTCTTGCATTACACAGACCTCTGGTCACTTGGCTGTGAAATGCATTCAGTCTGTAGCAATAGAGGTAATACAATTGCTTCAATTCCTGTTTAGAATTTCCAAACGCCCCTTGGTGATTCATTAGCCTTGTCCATACCAGCAACAATAAGGACAACAAGGTATTTTTGCCATGAATTTTTGGGGAGTTTAGCATGAGTTACTTCTCTCTTTTATTTTCTCAGCTATTTAAAAAGAAAAAAGAGGTGGTTTTATTTTACCCTGAAGTTTTCAGCCCAGTTCCTTCATGCTGCAGCGCAGAGCTGTTACTTCTGACATGAAACCTATTGTTTTCTCCCAGGATTATAACTTGCTAGGTTTTCAGGAGTACCACTCAGTATTAACATGGTGCAACCCTACACATGTTTAGACCAAAACATAGTCTTGCTAGTCTCAGCTTTCCTTGACCAGTCTGTACAGATTGCATCCTAATTCTATATTGTCATGCATCTAAGACCCCTTGATAATTGTCAAGCAAGTAGATTATTTGATTTTTTTGAAAACTGTAGCAAGGAAATCATGCCTTATAAGACCACTACGAACTGCTATATACATCCTGCTTAGCTATTTAGATGGATTGGTGGAAAAGGTGCATCATGCAACTATTATACATGCATTAAGAGCTGCTGCTAAGGCTGCCATAGCCTGAAGAAGCCCATCACTTCCTGCCCTTATGAGTTTTATTTGTAGGGTTTGGAATGTGGCTGTTATGCATGAAATGACATATTTCGCATAAGCCAGAGAGAGAGGAACACACTTTTTTTTTAGAAACTGACAACTTTTATTATGATTTGGAACAATTATGTGAAATGCATTATGCTTTATTTTCTATGATTTGATGGACTGGTATGTCTACTCTGAAGTAACTCCTATTGTGTTGATGGGCTAGTCCCAAGTAATAGTTCCATTCTATAGATATATACTTAGAAGTAATCCCTGTTGTTTTCAATAGTGCTTACTCCCAGGCAAGTATGTGTATATTTATCCTAAACCTGGTGTTAATATTTCAAATATGTCAGTTGATGTATATTGTTTTCATAAATTGATGTGATATGCTAATATCAGATTTTTTTAAAAAAATATGCAAGCATTTTTAAATAACATAGTTCAAATAGAAATTAGCAATGTTTAATCTATAGCTGCATTTGTGATAGAGATATTTGTAATGGGCATATTATTATAGTTATGTATTTTCTATTATTGTCTGTTATTCATCATTAAAATCTGAGGTTTTCCTTCTTGGTTTCCTTTCATTCCTTCCAGTCATTAAAGATTCCCACTAAGATCAATGAGTTATAGCAGTGATGGGGAATATGTAACTCTGTCACTGCTGTTAAACTAGCGAGCATATTGGCAAGGGATTACAGGAGTTACAGTCCAACATCTGAGGAATCCCATGTTCCCCATCTCTGAATTACAAAAATCTCAGCTGACTGATAATAGGAATTTTAGGTTGAAATCCCATGTATGCTTACCTAGAACCAAGTCACATATGGTCGGACTTCTGTATCAAGTACAGGATTGCAATGTTATCTGATTTATTACATGACATGTATTTATATATAAATAAAACAATAATTATGAAACTTTTTTTGTTTTGCTGGAGGATGAACCCTTGCACTCCAGGAAATAGTCATGGAAGAGGGATTCCCTTCTAACAGGAAGAGAAAGAATGCCTCTTCTGAGTCGATGCTTGTTTTAATAGTATAACAGCATAACTCTGTTTTTCAGCTTCTCTGCACTTTCCCAGAAAAGCATCAAATAGATACCAGTTGCAAATTAACTACATTGCACATCTGTTATATATTAGGTCATAAACTGGGTGCTGGAATATGCTCAAATCAAAATGTAATTTTGATTGGCTGTGCTTATACACGTATCAGGAACACTGTATGTCTCCATGTCCTAAACTTATTTCTTTGTTTTTATCTACCAAAATCACATGCATTTGGTCTGATCTAGTAGGGCTCTTCTTCTGTCCCTAACGTCCCTTGACTGATTGTTAACCAGAACAATCAATCGAGTAAATATTTATTTATTTATTTATTTATTTATTAAAACATTTTTATGCCGCCCCATTCACCGAAGCCTCGGTGCGGCTTACAACAATAAGTTAAAATAATTATAATATCAATCAAAAATATAAACATTAAATTAAAAATACAAAAATGCAGTATAAAATAAGCCGCCCTGGCCAGATAAAATCCAATAATATTAACAGTTAAAATGCCGCTTGAATAAAAAGGTCTTCGCCTGGCGCCGAAAAACAAATAACGACGGCGCCAGGCGGACCTCTCTGGGGAGCGCGTTCCATAACTTAGGCGCCCTAGTAAAGCATCATTATTTCCAGCCCTAGTAAAGCATCATTAAATGTATTGCCCATCTAGTAGACCCAGGTAATGTGATAAAGACCAGCATATCAGAGATTCCAGTTCTAGGTACCCCGTTCACTGATCCCCTTTACCAATGGAATTCCTCTGCATTCCTCATATGAAGTGACCAAAAGAGGAACCAGGAAGACTGACTGGGTCGAATCCAGGCTTAGTCATGGCTGGTGCTGCTTGGTGCAGGTTTCTTGTGACTGTTGGCGTGAGCAAAGCCGCATGTATTTGTCTCAACTATACGGTACAGTTACAGGACTCATATCAATATCAATCAATATCAGCATTTGGCATTCATCTATGGAATGTCCTGCCACAAAATATGACAATGACTGCTTCTCTTAGATGACCTGAAAGGAAACTGGACCAACTCAGGAAGGAGTGATGCATCCATGGCAGTTCATCCGAATGGCCTTAGAGCCCCCGTGTCAGGAGGCCATATGTCACTGAACACCAGCAGCTGGTGGGAGTGGTTAAACTTGCAAGTAACTATGCATAGAATTGATCCCTGACTGAGGCAAATGGGCAGATCTGCCCCTGAACCAGTCTGCTCCTCTCCAAGGTGACCTCTTGGTTCCTTCCAGCTCAGAGTAGATCTGTGTTTCAATTCCTTAGAACCGTTGGAAAGGCCCTTTCCCTCGTTCACATTCCTTCTCCTCATTCTCTGAATTCTGCAAGACAGACTTAGGAGGTTGTTGGTGTAGCTTGAAAACTGACCTGACCTCTGACTGCTTGCTGCAAAATACATGAAGGGCATTTAAACCTCAAAGTCTACTTCTCAAGCATGGAATCCTGCTTCATTGCCAAGAAACCTTATCCAGATACATTACCTACTTGAAGTATCTGCAGAGGGAACTTGTTCTATATCTCTCTTACAAACTGGGCACTACCGTCCATTAACAGCAGACTGTATTAGATGTGCGGATCATTGCATGCATTCTGAGGCATGATAATAGTTTAGCATATGCACCCAAAAATGAGTGTACCTAACCTGTGCTGGTTTTACAATAAGTTCTGTCAGGAATTCCATATATGTTCCTGGCTGAGGGCAGGGACATGAAATAGATATCAGTGTTCATTATGTATCTGACAGGAAGGTGTGGGGAGTGGAGGAGAATAGCAAAGGGAAAAATGCTACTGCTCGAGAAAACAGCCAGCACAGTTAATATTTCATGGCATTGCAAGTCAAGCTGGTATAGAGTGTTCGGACTGTGACCAGGAAGATCCAGGTTCAAATTCTGGCTGAGCAGAGGCATGCTGCTAACTTACTTCTCACACCCCCAAGGGAAGTCCAAAAATACAGGCAGCTCTTTCAATTCATATCAGCCAACCAGTTCTAGCCACCAGGAATAACCCCATCTGCTATAAAGCTAATGGTCTTGATTGCCCATTCAAGACTAATCAATTCCAAACTAATTTTCATTTCAACAGTGACAGCTCATGACAAAATATTGTTGGGAAAATTGGTTTGCCCAGCTTTACTGTGGGGATTACAGATGAACTCAGAGTGAACAGAGAAGTTGGAAGATGATGGCAGGTTATGTCATCCAGGATAATCAAATAGTCCTAAAGCATTTGTCCTGTGAGCTATGACTCCACTATAACACTGTTGCTCATTTATGGAGCTCACTCATTCTTCTTGATTCAGCCTCACCCAAACCACAGGGTTGTCCTGAAGTTTAAGAAAGATGCAGCTTCCATTCAACAGGGAGCAAGCCAGTAGCTTTCCTGGGCATTTTTAATACTTTTTTTCTTTCTAAACATGCATAGGTCTGTATTCTTAGTTTCTTTCCATATTCTTAGAAAAGGCTTTGTTAGATAATGTAGCAGATACCCCTGGGTGGGGATGAAAGCAATCAAAAGTAAAGGCTTCTTCTCATGGATCCCATGTATCATCATGGACCTACGTTTCCAAAATCCTTTCTAAAGATATGTGCATCAACCCTTGGAGAAAGACAAGAACTGCCATGTGCTAAAAACAGAGCAGGAAACCCCAGAACAGTCAGGTAGAGACCATGGTCAGCATTGCTTTCAGAGAGTTCAGACAGTACGTATAGTGGACGTTATCTATATTTGATGCTCATGCTTCCATGTCTCAGGGGTGGCAGTAGCTATCCAGATGTGTTGGACTTCAGTTCCCAAAAGCCTCTGCTAAGCTGGACAATGATCAGGAACGCTGGGAGTTGAAGTCCAAAACATCTGGAGGTACTTTCTGCCCACTCCTGCCTTATTAGGTGCAGAAACATTGTCTTTCATGTTCTGCTATGCTTGCAAGTGACCAGTGGTGTCTCCACCCAAAAGCATTGATCCTCTTTGCCTTCTCAACTTTTCGCTTCCCTTGTCCTCCTCTTCTTCTTCTCAACAGATGACTGCCACAGCTCAACAGCCAGCGAAAGCACAACCCGTCCACATCACTACGCCCTCGGCAGCAGCCAGCACCCCGATCCCCAGCACTCCCATCGACCCTCAGGCACAGCTGGAGGCTGACAAGCGGGCTGTCTACAGGTACAGAGGGTTTCTGTCTGCCAGGCTGCTCTTTAATGTTGCTTCCCATCCCTGTAGTGGCTTGCTGAAATATTGCTGGAATTTGGCCTGGGGCTAACTTGTCAGGGAGATGCTGCACAGAGGCTGTTTCTTCTCTGTGTCTTTGTCAGTAGGCTGAAAAAGACAGGTTCCAGTGCACATTAGACTCAGCAAGCCTCAAGCTGAAGACTTAAAGAGATTTGCTCTCTCCGTTAGCAAAGAAGTTGTGTTACAGGCAATGGAATGATGATGCAACTATAAATATTCTGGTGTGGGTGGAAATCTTTGGAAATCTTTTCTCTATGATCCAGGTCTTCTTTGTCAGTGAGCATGCATTTGATTCTTCATAGTTGTACACAATCCTTTTTTTCTGCTTTAGGAATATGGCACATGCTGAGTGCTCACATTTGGGTCTAACTCCCAAAGTTAAGCCTAGTAATCATGTGATTTTTAAGGCGCAAACCTTTGGCCAGTAAGTGCTAATCTGGACAACCACAGAAAAATCACACTCTCAGATCCAGGCTCATAATCTTTCTCCATGATCAAAACTGGAACTCTGAGTTGGCGCGTCCTCCCTTTATCCCTGCCACAGGTGCAGAAAGAGCAGAAAGAGAGATGAGCTGCTGAGGCCACAAGGTGGACCTCAGGGTCAGGGCTACTTGAGTATTCCAGGGGTAGGAAGCTAAATAGTAGGCCTCTGCAGTTTGTGCGAATTTCCATGGCATTTCATAAAACAAACGTGCAACTCAAAGCCCATCACAGAGGGAAATCTGTGGAAGCACACCAGCTTGACCCTCTTCTGAGCATTGGATCGAAGCAGGCCAGGAGCCCATCAAGCAAACTCAAATGAGCCAGCATCAGTGTATCCCTACCCCATAGGTTGTGAGCCCCAGCATAGGGACAAGCATGTCACAGAGAGCAATCTCCCCTGATTTGGCCTTGCATGCTCCCTTTCAGCACTGTTGTATTCCACACTTTAAAAGAGTGTCCTTTTAAATGCACACATTTTAAAATATACTTTAGTTAAGGGAGACAAGGTGCACATCTTTTAAAAATATGATTTTTTCTGGTTCAAGGAGGTTGAAAAAAAAGGAATAGGATCAAGCCAAATCAAGCTTTGAAGTAAACGCCAGAGAATTGTGGTGAGCTTGAGTATCCCTGCTTCTCCCAGCACTAATACTGGATATAAAAGGGATTGCTCATGGCTTCTGTCCAGTGCTGTGTGAGCAGTTGGGGTCACTGGTACTCATGCTCAGAGACTGCAGAGAATCCAGCAAATGCCTCAGTGTGTGAGGACATCAATATTCCTAATAGAAATTGACAATGCCATGTTAAGTACCATCACACATTGCTCTGTAAATGAGCTTTATGAGCGAGACAGCCCAGATTCTGGAATCTTTTGTGATATTTTGATTTCACACTTCTAATGCTGTGTATTAGCAGATTTATGTTTTGTACATGCAAAGAAAGGAGCCAGAGAAAAGGAAGCGTGGGCTTTTTATGTAGGATAAGAAGTGAAGGGAGCCAGGAAGAAGAATGTTTGAATTGAAGGCTTGGATATCATACTGAGTGCCTAGAGGGCTTTTTTTTTTTTTGGTATGTTTTTTTTAATTAAAATTTCTTGCCTCTGGGTAGCATGACAGTTCAAAACCGCATTGGGGATTTTTCATTTCATGTCAATAAATTTAACAAGGCCCCATTCAATTCAAATTAATGCTTAAGCTGTAGCTTTTACAGGCTCCTCTCAGAGAGCACAGATAAAAAGAAATATATATATATGGTTCTTGGTTTTTTCTCCCACACCTGCATACAGCTGCACCAAAACCCAGTCTATATTACTACCTACAGTTTTGCCTGGCTGCAGGGTAGTACCAAGAGGAGAACAGAGAAAGGTCTGTGATGTTCAGCCTACTTTTTTTGTGATGACCGATATGTTAATAGAAAATATCCTTTTCCTGCATTCTGAAACTTGGGAATGAGGTGTCTGGTTCTAATTGGATCATGTGGGAGTTTCTCTTTTGCCAGCTGACCACACAATACAATTCTGAAGAGGCTCTGTGTACAGAATGGTACCTGAATGCACTTATTTTATTCTTTTTTCCCCATCCCTGTTCCCCACTGGAACATGTTCAGATTAAATTGCAAATCCACAAGTAGGACCTGCACAGTCTTGTCTTGTTTCATTTTTGTACAGGGCTTGGAAATTTCAGATACTTTTTTCACCCTCATCATCCTCATCCATCTGTTCATTCTGTCAGTGCTACTGTGGGATCGTCAATGAGATTTGGGAGTAAGGAGAGGATGAGCAAATATAATGGGGAGAAATTTTATTTTATTTTATACTGTATTGTTGTATTTTAATTTAATATTTATATTTTTAATTTATATTATAATTATTTTAACTTGTGAGCCGCCCCGAGGCTTCGGCGAATGGGGCAGCATAAAAATGTTTAAATAAATAAATAAATAAATAAATAAATAATTGAGGGAGAAAGTTTGTTACTTTTAAGCAGAAAAACCTAGTGCCTTTTTAAAATTTAAACTGCTTCATAACTTCTGAAATCCTGACATCTCCACATGGTTTACATCAAAATATATAGAACTAAATATGAAAAATAATGTAAAAACAATAGAAAATAATGAAGATGTTAAAACACAACTTCAGAGGAGAGCAGAGCATATTTGGCTGAAAGCCAGGGAAAGCCTGGCTTTAATCATAGTAATTCAATACTAATAGTATCAGCAACAACAATTGTATGATGATGATGTTATAGCTGGTATTAAGGATCAAAAACGATTCGTTCATTACATTGTTAAACTGCCCAACAGCTAAAGTGCTGTGGGCATTTCATAACATACTCTTAACAGATGGGACATGCAAATGTATACTGGTGATGCTTAATATTTTTAAAGAAATCATGCCTCGGATCTTTCTTGTTCTCTGTTTCTCTTTCATTTTCTCTCCAGTTTTGACTTGGGATGTCCATGCCTGGGTGAGGGAGCAGCAAAACTCCTTACTAGTGCACCTCATGCCCATCTCCTGCTTTGTTCATGATACTTACTGAGTTGGCCTTTGATCCTCTCCTTCCACTTTTCCCATCTGAAATACATTAGTTGCTATGGAAATTATTAGGGGAGGGCCCATCCAATTCCCAAATGCAAGGTAAAGGCAGTGTAATAACTGGTGCCTTGGTCTGGAAAGTGCTCTGGATTACTTAAGGCCATTACGAATGCTTGTGTGCAATTTGTGTGCAGCACTCTCAAAGCTGCATTCCAGAGGTGTATTTGCATGTATGGCTTCTGATGCAGCTTAGGATGGAGAGCAATGCACGGTACAGGGAGATGCACCTGAGGAGGAGGAGGAGGAGCAGCAGCAGCAGCTTGAATTCTGGCAGCCAAACAGTCCTGTCACCGCTATTCCAAATTCTCAGGGGATGTCTCTCTTCCTGGTACCTGATAGCAGCAAGAACTGGTCAGTGCTGAAACAGAAGACGCCACCCAGTAGAAACCAGGAGTGAGGTGGGGCGAAATATTGGGCAAGCCAAGCTGCCATTTAACAAGATTCCTGTGATGTTGAGGAGGTGCTAGGGTGGGCTGATGTGGAGTGGAGGAAATGTAGATGGCTGTCCCTGTACCTGAGCAGCAGGAATTATGCAATGGGGTTATGCAAGGGGGCGGCATATAAGCTGTCTAAATAAATAAATAAATAAATAAATAAAAAGAATAGCCTCAAACCTCGCCACAGCAGACTGAACCTCTTCAGCAAGGTATATTTTGTTTCAGGGATTCTCCTCCTGCTACCAGCAGAGATGGTGGGAAGTAGCCTCAGCTTTGTTTCTGTGACTGCAAGCAGCATTTCTAGTGTGGATAATACCACCAAAATAAAGTAACAGCAACTGTCTCTTGCACAAACTGCATGCAATCAGCTGGCCACAGAGAGGCAGTGGGATTGCACAAGATCCTTCCGTGCTGTTTTTGACGGGTCTCATGCAGCTGGCAAAAACGTGAATTGGCTCCGACACTAAAGAGCTGGTTGCAAATAACACATTTTATTTCATTTTATGTTTTGTGTTGTTTTGTTTTTTATCTTCAGCAGCTTAATCTATTTCCCCTTAATGGACAGAAGTGTTTTGCTCGTTTGTGTTTTGGCTGTCCTGGAAGTGATGCTGCCTGCGGTAATAACTCATGTGCAGTCAATGCAACATTTAGCGGAACTCCCATTTGTATCCGGAAGCTTTCCTCTGTAGAGTGCTCTTGGTGCTTTCAGTAGCCATCCAAAGAAATGCACTTTCTGATGGATTTATGGTTACTGCTGAAATTTAAAACATATTCAGTTGCATTGGGATCATTTTCTGTTTTACTTTAATATCTAGTAAAAGCAGCTTTTTTTCTTGGAGACAATAGAATCAAATGTTTCCATTGGGAGACTTTGACTCAAAGCTAAAGAAGAGTTTTGTGGATGATCCTTTCTAAGGCTGTACCAAACTGAAGCTTATCGATGCTTGAGAGAGATGACAGGGTTGAAACCAAAGGATATTTCCATATTGCTCAAATTTGGGAAAGTTTCATTCATTCACCCATTTATTCTGTTTCTGTACTGCCCGACAGAAAAGGTCTTGGCTGTTTATAGAGACTGGAACCCTAAAAATACAATAATTTTAAAAAATGCAAATATATGCATCTTAAACAATCCACAAAAACCCGAATACCATTTTGAAGCCTTATTAAACCTGGCTTTTGCACAGAAGAAGTGAAAGCAAGCCACCAGAAAGGAATCAAGCCCTGTTGAGTGACCCTTTAAACATCAAAAGCCCTCTGGAGGAAAAATGGAATGTTCATCCAGGCCTCCCGATGAATCCCGATACACATAAGCTGCTTTTCTCCTCTGTCCCACCCCGTTCCTTCTCTTACTCCTCCATCTTTTCTTATCCACTGGACAACTATAGCAGCATTTCTGTAAAACAGTGGAAGAAGTGTTTTGA